TATTTTTAATTGAATAAATAATAACAAAACAAATGATTGAAAAAGATTTATGATATAAAAATGAATATTGATATTAAGATAAATAAACATATTAAATAATGAAATAACAATGTCTCATTCAATATTATCAATTGTTATTACTAATTTTAATTATTATCATAACAACAATTATTTCATTTATTAATAATGTATTTGGTTTTTGTTCAACATTAAATCACAAATATATTCAAAGATGTGAATATTGTCCAAATAAAAATTGCATATGATGATAAATCATAATATTGAGAGAGAAATGAAATATCAAATATTATACAATGTATTATAAATTCATTATAAATAAAAGTATTATCATTATAAATACCATTAATAATCATATTTTGATGATAATGTTATTTATTAATTTGTAAAATAATCAGATAAATATATTTTTATTGAATTTTATGATAACATTCATTAAAACATATTTCATCAACACTAAATATTAATTTATATTTAGTACTATAAAAATTGATGATAATCCAATATGAATATTGATGATTTCATTATAATTGACACTGTTTCATTGTATATTATGTTATATTTAAAAATACAACATGTAAAATAAGATATTGTATTAAATTATAATTAAATCATTTATTAATGATGTTAATATATTGTTTCATATTGAATATTTCATGATTTATGAATTATGAATTAATAATTTAGAAATAACAACAGTTTATTTAATTTGAATAGAATAAAATAGAATGATAAAATTAATTGTATTTTTATTAATTGAATATTTATACGAAGATGTTTTTATGTTTAATGAATAAAAATAAATAATGATAAGAAATAGTAAAGTGAAATATTTTAATATCATTCAAAATAAAAATAAAAATAATAACATCATAAAATAAAAAGTAAAATGAATAACATCTAAATAAATATTTTATATCAATTCTATTTTATTATATCAAGAAAATTTTATCATATTCATTGTTATGAATTATTATTAAATCATTTAACTTATTTTTCATATTTCATTTTTATTACCATTTCTCTTTTTATCTATTATTATTGGTATTTTTATTCATTATTATTGATTGATTAAAATAACACAGATTATTTTATTCATTCAAATAAAGTTAACTCCACAATTAAATTATCAATAATTTTTATTCTTTTATGTTTCATTTATTTTTATTGTTAAATAAAATGAAATCAAAACATTTTTATTATAGTTATGTGTTTTGGTGTTAATCTCGATTTTGAACAAAGTGAATTTGTTTTTGCTTTAAGTTCAGATAAATTGAAATCAATATATGAACTTGTTTTATAAGTTTCTTTACAAATACAAATACTCTGTCCAATTTCTAACAAACAATAATCTGTTCTATTAAATAAACAAAACGCATGCTCTTGTTCTTTAATATCATATTTCTTCATTCCTTTCAATATTTCATTTGTTTCTAATGAAAATAGAAATGATTTTGAATCTTTTATATAACTACCAACTCTATTAATAACAGAATTAACATATCCTCCAAATTTATTTCC